TTATGAGATATGAAAAAGGAAAAAGAAAATCAAAAAGAAAGCAAATCATAAAAGAAAAAGAGCAAAAATAAAGAGAAAAAAATGGGGAGGGTAAAAAGAAAAAAAATGAAAAAACTTTTTCAAAACAGTCCTAAAAAATGCAAGAAAGACAGTAGAAAATAAATCAAAAACTTAACAAAAATGTTACTCAAAGAAAAACTGCAGTGTCAAAAAAAAGTCTGGCAGCAACCACCAGTCAGCAAAAAAGTTAGTACAAGGCCTGAAAAAGATGCCAAGTAAACTGGGGTTCAGGAGGCAAACTGGCTAGTTGGTATGAACACTTGTTTATATATGTTTTTTGTACCCTCTAGAACCCAGTAAAAGTTTGAAGAGTCTTCTAGAAAGTTCCATTCTATTATTATGAAATCTAAAGGGTTTGGTGAATGGGAGCGTCTCATAAGATAAAAAGGGCATCTAGTAGCTACAGATTTAAGTCATCATTTTCACCTAGGTTTTGTATTTTATAGTGTAAGCGTAAAGAGGTAGAGCAAAATGGGACCTCGTCACAGTATATATATATATATATATATATATATATATATATATATATATATATATGTGTGTGTGTGTATATATATGTGTGTATATATATATGTGTGTGTGTGTGTGTATATATGTGTGTATATATATGTGTGTGTGTGTGTGTATATATATGTGTGTATATATATGTGTGTGTGTGTGTGTATATATGTGTGTGTGTATATATATATGTATGTGTGTGTGTATATGTATATATATGTGTGTGTGTGTATATATATATATATATAATGTGTATATGTATATATATGTGTGTGTGTGTATGTATATATATATATATATATATATATATATATATATAGATGTGTGTGTATATATATATATATATGTAACAGTAAGAGATAGATCAAGTATGACGACCATCATAAAGACTGAAAAATAAAATTGACAAAGATTATTTTTTTAAGGTTGTCGGACACGCATGGCTTAATTAGCTGTTTTTTTTTGTTTTTTTTACGAATTGGTCAAACCCAAATTCAAACAAAACATTGTTTACAATTGTTATGAGTCTATTGATTGGTGAATAGAATTTTATTATAAACAATTCTCTTGTAAATGGAATTTTTAAAGCATTCTGAATGTAAAAATAAAAGAAAAAAAAAAAAAGACAATAAGAAACACTACCTGCCAAAAAAAAAAAAGTTTTTGTTGAAATCGGTTGAAAAATGTAGGTAGCCTTTCTCTGTAATCTTTTACAATTTATGATTTTTACTTATTGAATACAGTAAAAAAAATTGCATATTTTGCTTGTGGTGATTCATAATTAGAATTCTGATTTGAATATATTTTCCACTCGTTGTTTCTAATACAAAAATATTAACTTTATTTGGGTTTATTAATTTATTATAAGTACTGTGTTCTTTCCTTAATAATTATCATCTTCGAAATATTGATTGAATAGAATTAGAATTTTATTAAAAACAATTGTCTTGTAAATGGAATTTTTAAAGCATTCTGAATGTAAATAAAGAAAAAGTGTGCAAGACAATAAAAATACTACCTGCCAAAAAAAAAAAAAAAGTGGATGTTTGTTTTATCGGCTGAAAAATGTAAGAAATCCGATCCCATATATAAAGGAACACACACACACACACACAAAACAACCTGGGTTTTTTTTTTTTAACCTAAGTCACTCCACGGAATCGCTAAAACATAAAATAGTCTGATGAAAAAGACGCCAAAGTTTATGAAAACAAAATTTTATTGTCAAAATGCTTTATGTTTTTTATGAAGAGGATAGACTAAATTTTTTTTAATTATTTTTTAAAATTTTTTCCATCTTTTTAGAATATTCTAAATTTTGATTTAAAAAAACCTTGTTTCTCTTTGTCGAAACATAAGGGGTAGTAAATAAGATAGAGAATAATTTTAGTGCGTTTTTTTGTATTTACACACATTAATTTGGAAAATCTTGCAAAAATAAAAAATTATTGTCAGATGTTAATGAAACTTTCAGAAACTATTCACAGATGATCGAAATTATTATAAATATGTTTTTTTTTTTTTAAAAAGTCATGGCAGAAATATTTTTTTATATTTATTAACACCCCCATAACTAATTTTATGAAAAAACTCTAGAAATTCGAGACCATCGGTTTTAGTGATTACAAAAAAAAATTTGGGCTTTTTGAAGAATGCAAATCATGTTTTTTTTTTTTTTTTTTTTTGACCAACGTACCTGAAAATCAGCTGAATTGTAACATACAAAACTCAATAAAACAAATATATTATTTAGTTTGCAAATGCTTTTATTTGTTTTAATTTGTTTTTATGAATATGGACAATATTTTCTGAAAGCAAAAATTTTTTCAATGAAAATTGAATTTTAATACAATTATTTCTTATTTCTTTAATTTTAAAAAGATTTTTAAAAAAAAATTTAAATTGAATTTTTAAAAATATTTTAACATTAGTTAAAAAGCAACATCAACCTTTCAAAATGTCCGTGTGAGATTGTCATTGTCTAGCGCTTTGAAAATTGTATAATTTGGACCAATCAGATTAGCCATGGTAATTAAGAAATGTAATTTTTGTGTTTATAGTTGGACAGTAATTATCAAGTACGGAAGACCAACCAGAATACAATTTAGTTGCATTATTTGAGTTCAGCATTGTTCTCCACTGTTAAACCCTTTTTACTTTTGCGAAAACACGTATGGAGAAGTTAATTTGAGTTTTCAATTTCAACTGAGAAGGGTACCTACAAGTAACAGTATCATCTTATGAAATTTAACTACTGCTAAACTTTAATTTATATGATCTTATTTTTATATTAATCTCAGTTATGACATTTTTCCATAAATGAAATATCAAAATTAATAATAAAATGAATGGAAATACAAATAACACAGTAAAAATGTAATAAATGTACATAAAATTATAGTATTTTATGTACACTTCTGATAAAATTTCATAAGAAAGGTACCTAAATTAATTAGATACCTTTTTTCTTATGAAATTTAATCTCACTATTATTAACAGTCTTATTTTTTAATTTCTTTATATTTTCCATAAAGCATCGTAAACATAAAAATGAAAGCTAAGTAAAAAAAAAAAAAAAAAAATAAAAATTAGAGCGCTGAAAGTTTTCCTTAAAAAAAACAAGGTAAATAATTTGTTCACTTAAATAATTTCACTTCCTTCCATCTGTAGAAAGAATTATCCTCCCATAAGTTATCTAAATGTCATGAATGTGCCTTTTGTCAATCGTCAAGTTTATTTAAAGGTTATGACCTGCTTTGTTTTATTTTCAAATTACATTTTTTTTGCACGCAGAAGCTAAGTTAAGCTTGGTTCAAAATATTTTAAATAAACAGTATAATTTTTGTTTTTATTAAAATCAGTTTTGAAAAAATGATAATTGATTTTTAAAAGAATATCAAAGTCAGATTTTAATCTTTTTTTATCAAATCGAAAAAAATGATTGAAAATGATTGATTATCTGTCCTTTTTTTTGACAAAAAAAACAATATTTTTTAACGAAAATTTCAGACGTGCTAGGAACAATTAAAAAATGTAAAAAAACCCACCCCAAAAATACTTTTGATCTTTCCTCTTTAATAATAATATGAACATTAGACAATAAAATTTTGTTTTTGTCAAGTTCGGCTTTTTTTCATCATACTATGCTCTTTTTGTTTACATTTTCGTGGGTGAGTTGTCCCCTTTCATTCTCACGATGTGTCTTAATCATGTTTTCAAATTGATTTTCTTAAAAAACAACTGTTTTTTTCCCATTTTCGGCGCCATTAGAACCACCACAAGGTAATTTTATGTAGTCCTGTGAAGTTTTGTTGAAATCGGCTAAAAAATGTAGGAAATTCGATCCAATATATAAACGTTACACACACACACACACACAATCTGCATTTTATAATAAGTAAGATAAAATGTATATATATATATATGTGTTTGTTATATATATATATATATATATATATATATATATATATACTTTTATAATATATATATGTAATATATATATATATGTATGTGTATATATATATATATATATATATATATATATATATATATATATTATGAGTAAAATAAAAGAACAAATATTGAAACCTATATCAATCTAACATGTTTCAAAAATATTACACTTTTTCAAAGGTTGATTGAGAGAAAACTGACAAAAAGAAACTCAATTTTGTTTAGTTCTCATTGGTAATTTATGTGTCACTTGTATTAAAACCATAGATAATCCTAAGAAGTACTGCAAAATATTTTGGCCACTATTTTCACTGAAAACTGATTATACAATGTGTAATTGTTAACATGCTTCTCTTGTAAAGTATTGATAGTGACTTTTTTTCTTTCAGTTCTTTATGAATGTAGCATGGAGCCCACAAATATCCCTTGCATGCTCAAGTATCAGCACATTTAAATACATGGGATTAATTTGCTAATGTATTCCAATTTCTTTCAATATAAACAAAAGTATAATATCATATTTGTGGGTGTTTGTGTGCCTATCCCAAAGTGAAGAATTGGTTGATACATTCTAACAAAGTTTGCCAAATGAAAGAGTATCCATTGATAAAGTTTTCATATCTCTTTTTTTTTGTACATATATGTGCAAAGTACACACACACACACACACACACACACACACACACACAAAATAAGATTTAAGGTTTTTTGATATAGCTTTACATACTATTGGCAAGGGACTATTGGCAATTCCCATTGCTACAGAAACTGCAAAGTGAGAAGGACTCTTCTCTCTCACACACACATTCTTTTATCAGATACTTTATCTTTTTGACATGTTAATTTTTATTTGTTTGTTTTAATTTCTTTGTGAAATATTATGAAAAATCTATACAATGGGTTTAATTAATCTTTTTGAATGAATTCTTATTTCAGCTACAGATGGTTGCCTGATTGATGATTCTCATTATCCTTGTGTTTTACTTTTGATGCATAAATGGTTTGTTTCATCACAGGAACTAGCAGAACATTTGGTTGAATTGTATCCTTTTCACTAAATAAAACATTTTTTTTAAAGATTTTCATTATTTCAAATTAATTTTGTTTTACTTGTATTAAGAATAATTTCGAAATAACAAGGAAATTTAGCTATAACTTCTTTTTCTTATTTAGTCATCTTATTTGTTCAAGTGTCAATTATGATTCACAATATTCTGATAACACTAAGTGTTATCAGAATATTGTGAATCATAAATCATGATGGCTGGATTCTTTTTTCAGTCATACTTGTTTTTCATCTATAATAATCTTACACTCATATTTAACCTTCCACCCTGTCATCTTAAATGTGAATGTTGAATGTATTGTTCTTTGCATGTATCTATGAGCCCTTTACTCTGATTGTTCAGATATCTGGGAGTTGAAGACCATACAGAATGTGACCTTACCTTCTGTAGTCATACACCAACTGAAACAGCTTGCTCTTTACAAACTCTTAAGGCAAAGGTCTGCCATGTCTTCAGGTTAGTATTCCAGTTTATCATGATGACAAAAACAGCATGTCATTGATCTGCTTTCAGTTCTAGCTTTTTTATAAACACAAACATCCTATACATAAAGAAATAGTTTAATCATAAATGTTGTTTTGAAATCAGTGATAAATATTTAGAAAACAAATTTAATATTTCTCTTATTAAATCTTATAAAAGATAGATAAAATTATATACAGTTAATTTGCATTAAAGTTCTATCAAGAGAAGACTTGGTAGTATCTTTATTAAATATAAATGAAAATTTCCATTTATATAAGCTTTGCATGTTCTAATGGTGGTGTTATTAATACCAAATGCATATTTAAATTATCTCTCAGTTTCACATTCATTTCAAGAATATATTGATTTTATATATTAAAGAATATTGAGAAACATTATGTTTATTCCCTTATTTCTCATTTTTAATAGCCATTAAATGTTTTTACACAATTCTACATAAAACAACCCAGAGACACTCTGCATGTCTCATATGAGCATTGTAAGGCATTTGAAAATATATGAATTTCTACAATGTTTGTGTGCCTTACAGTTTAACAAAAACAAATAAAATAGACTGCAATTCCATTTAAGATTCTCTGATCAAATGCAACAAAATGAATAACAGCTAATGAAAAATGGATTGTTTACAACAATGTGGAGTGAACTGTTCTGTTTTCAAAGAAGGTAATGTTGTGTATCTGGTAGAATTGAAAAGGCAATGTGTATTACAAGCTTCTTTTTTTTTTCTTTTTTTTTTTTTGCAAAATATGACTTTAAATTCAGACAAGTACTGTTCCCAGTTGGAACCATTAAAAGTAGTAATCAGTGAAAAGTGCCCAGGCCAATCAGAAGGGTAACATCTTCCATCAATGCCAAACTTCATGTCTATGGAAGAAATTGGTACAGCTTAGCTAGGATATCCTACTACACTCACTGTGACACACTTGACCTTGCACTTTCAGATTATCACTTACTTCAATCCCTACAAAATTCTCTTAAAAGGAAGAATTTAAATTCTCTGGAAGTCACACTCCTCCCTGATCTTTTAAACAAGGAAAGTTTATCTCCAATTTAGGATTGGGTTTCCGATTCCTTGTAAAGTCTTTTCATTCTCTTTCAGTCTCATTAGCCCTTTTCATCTTAGTGGCACTTTCACCTTGCTTGGGGTGAATTGATTAGATAAAAATCCTATACAAACCCCTTAAACCAGTTGATCATCCAGAAAGATGCCAAATTCTTGGAACATAGAATCATTAAGCTGCCTCAAAGATGGCAAAAGTTAGTAGTGGAACAAAGCACATACGTGGCTGAATAAATCTATGTACAGAATATCTAAATATTGTCTTTGAAATTTACTTAGCACTATAAACTTGTTCCAACCCAATTTATAACATGTAGATTTGTTAATATAATTTTTTATAAATGTACCTCATTTTAATAAAAAAAAAAAGAAGAAAATTCTAGTAACTATACAAGAAAAGGTAATCAGAAAATCTGAATAATTTTTAAAAATTTTTAATTTTTTTGGCATAAATTTGTTCGTTATTTTTAACTAATTCCAACAGTTACAATCTTTTTTATTTTAATGCATAATTGTATTTTAAATCTTAACTGAATTTGCTATAAAATGTGAGAATAATATTATTACCACTTGTCAATAGAACTTCCAAAACAATTTAATATGTTTAAATATTATCTAACATTTTCTAATTTAAAAAAAACAATAAAATAAAGTTAATTTTCATGTAAAGTTCTCATTTAAAACATTTTTAATTATTTTTTTTTAATTTAATAATCAAACTCATTTTCTTGGATTTAACAAAATTGAAGGAATTGTTTTATGTATTTAAATAATCAATCCAATTTTTAGATTTATTAAACAATACGCATCTCTCATTTCTTCAAAGATTTGTATTTATACTTTCTCTTTCTTTTTACCCTGTATTCTAACTTAAACTTTTGCTTTTTATTCTCTTTTTTCTGTTCATTTCAGAAGTGATGACAGATTTGACATAGAATTTTTTATAGTATTTTTATTTTTGTATATTTTTTTCAATTATTAATTGGATCAGTTTTTGCCTAAATTTTCAAATTTGATTTTGCTATTTTATTTTTTTATTTTTTTTTATTAGGTATTGGATTCGAACATTTCCATTTCATTTTGACCTTGACAAACGACTAAAGACTATTGTTGAAAGGTTTGGTCAAATACTTGAAACTGAAGGAAATACAAATTTTTCAGAACTTATTGATCTCTCAAAAGTGTAAGTATTACAATTTTGCTTCTCTTCCACCCCAACACATCCACCACTTTCATTGTAAGAGTTACAGAGTTAAACAGGGTAATCGGTGATATTAATCTGTCATTAAAAGTAATCTTTTGTTATTTAAAATGTGAGTCAAATTTGAAATAATAAATGTCAAATAAAAGAAAAATATTCAAAAATGAACAGATTTCTTAAGCCTGATTTACTTACTTTTTGTGTTTGTTGATTTTCCACTTCTTCAGTTATTTATACATTTAAAATAAATATAACTTGCAAGCAATTCCTTTAAACTAATATATTTTGTAGTAGATTCAGGGAAATACCTGATATGAATAACATATTAATGAAAATTGCAAAAAATATTTTGTTATTTATATATGCTTGTATTTTACAATAAAAATGAGCAGTATTTTCTAATGATAAAAGAACGTGCCACTAAAAAAATGAAACAAATTGTTTCCTATTTAGAAAAATATAGAATAATTTGTTTTATTTTTTTTAAGTAATATTTAATTTAAAAAAGGCTTTTTTCTAATATATGCCATAATTTATATTTGTTGGTAATAAAATTACCTAAAATGCATCAGCAAACTTGATCAGGTTATCAAGAAGGTATTGTGAATGAATGTGTCAAAAGTGGTTTGCTGGAGATGATGAACAATGCTCTTGGGTCATGTAAACTAGTTGAGGTTGCTAAGCAATCAATTCAGAACATTACTTGTAAGGGAATATCAACATCGTCAAAATATGAAATTCAAGCATTTAATATTTAAATACTGGACATTATTCCAGCATATAATGAAATATAATGAAAATATTCTATTTTTGAAAGAAATTGTGATGAGCAATACAATCTGAATATGTTACAAAATGGAATGCAATAGATTATGTGACAAGCAAATAAATGACCATTAAATGTACCAAGACCTAGTTTTCATTCCCAGAAAGTGACACTGTATATAGTCGTGTTAGAAAGGAGATCTCTTAGGAGCTTAATTCAATTATTTACTCCTGTTTTAATTGTAAGTCTGATAAGACAAATAAAGACAAATTGGCAACTCATCTTAAAACTGACCTCCACCCTGTTGTTAACTGGGACAGCAAATGGCTTGTGAATTTTAATGCCTCCGAAGCAAAACTGCTATCTCTTAGTCATCTTAAAGAACCATTTTTGCCTTTCATCATCATGGCTAATGCCAACTTCCAGGAAAGCAACTCATTGTGCCTTCTCAGTCTCATGTTTTCTACTGACATAAAGTGGAACAATTGAATCAATACTGCTAGGTTCCATCTTGCATGTTTATAAGTTTATTCTTCCGGCACATAATATTGCTGCCACATCTGGTCTAGTTCTCCTAGAATTTTGAGATTCTTGATAAAATCCTAAGAAGAATCAACAATATTATCAGTCTTGACCTACCATCTCAGCTTCAGTCACTTTTCCAACATAAGTTTCCATGTGCCTTTTTTATAAATATTTTCATGGTAATTGTTCTAACAGATTTCCTCTTTGGTGCCTTAACTTGATGAATTTAAATATAGTACGAGATTGGCTTCTAGGTCTCATCATTTTACAGTTGAAATAACTAAATGTAATCATGTTATGTTCTAATAGTTTCTTCTATTGCGTTTCTTGACTGTGGAACTCTCTTCCAGCTTCCTACTTTCCTGTAAGCTGCAGTCTTTAAAAATTTAAATGTAATGTCAATTGCCAGCTTCTGTCATTTTGAATCCTATTCTTTTATTGTCTTTTCTCCTTACTAACATTTTCTCAATTTCTATCACTCTCAGTAGCCTCTTATGCCTTAGTTGTTTTATTTTCACTTAATAAGAATGATCTTAAACAGAAAATCCTCCACCAAGTGTTTCAAGATAAACTTTTCCAAAATAGAAACTATGATCTGAAATTGGAATGAAAGCAGTGATAGCACCTATCCTAAATACATCATATAAATTCAGTATGTAGATTTAGTAAATACTAAACACTTCAAATACCTTCAGATTATGGATCAGCAGAAAAAGGAAAGAACAAAGTAAAAATAATAATTAGAAATCATAAAATGAGTTTAGAGAAGGTTCTGAGTAGATTTGAATCTGAAATAAACCAAGTAGAATTCATTAACATTTAGTAAAAGTAGATCTTCCCCAACTCACACAGTACCTCCCAGGGGTGCAGTTTGACAAGATTTATGGTCTGGAATTTCCCAAAATCCAAATCAGAATTCTTGCTCTGTTTATTGAAAATACTATCAAGCACATTATAGCTTACCAAGTCCAAGGTAGGGGTTTTTGGAATGAAGCATTTTACAAGTGGCATCTGGTGTTTAAACAAAGAAAAGTCATGATATCTTACTGAAAAACAAAAAATAAATCAGTTCCAGAAATTTTTATATAAACCAGTCAGAGATACAGAGAGAGGAACCAAATGATAAGATAGGTGAAGTCCAGTTTTAATCCTCCTTCTCCTCCTCCTCCTTCTGTTCTTTCTCTGGTTACTGCTCTAGCATTTCTTTATTTCTTGAATTATTACTAGAATAATTGTTTTCTTGATGACAGACAGTCAACCAGGCTAAAATAAAATTCACCACCAAGTTATGACACGAAGAATACTATGTTTTTGGTAGTGCTGGAGCCAGGAACAACAGATCAATGAAACAAAAGTAAAATGAGGAACAACAGCACCAAACCTGTGTTTTGGTGAGGACGACACTTTTTCAAACCATATGGACTGATTCTCAAAGAAAGAACTCTACTAGATAACAGAAACCACATCACTTGAGGACTTTCAACAACAGCAGCAACTAAAATGAATAGTACATGTAAATTGAAGAGAAAATATCAAGAACTTGATATTCCACACTACTTCAAATAAAAGTTTAAAGAAAAAAAAAACTATTTTCCTGAAAAATTGTTTTAAGAGAAAAATTTTGTAACTCTTAAATGTTTCCCAAGATTCTACAATATTGGGACTGACAGCAAAGTCTAGTGTATGTGTTTGGGAATTCTAGTCGAAAATGTGAAAGGAATGTTTACTCTTCATCAATTCCCCTGTCAATCAACTCTTCTTCAATTCTTCTGTAATAACCTGTCAATCAAGTCTCACTCAATTTATCAGTTCTGCATGTACCTACATACTGGCCTGGGAATTGTGGGTTTGCTCTTTACCGAGGACTGTCTTACAAACAATTCCAGGCCACTCCAAACCAATTTGTTGTTGGGCCTGTTCTCTGACTGTGACCTTACTTGGGCCATTTTTCTATTGCTATCAGGCTTGGAATTGCAGGTGTGCTCTTAGAGCAATCCTAGGCCATTCTGAGCCGTGATACCCAACTACCACAACACCTTGTTGGATGAATTTCTCTCTGGCTATCATACTTGCTGTTTACATAGATAACTCCCTCTTTGACATTGATATATCTAAATCTTAGGAGATCTTGTTAAAAAAAACCATATGGTACCACTTTTGTTTACCTTAGAATCTGCCTATGTATCTTTCTGTAAGAAAATTTTGTTCCTGGGTGGTCAACATAACAAATTCTAACATGAATCAGATGTTTTTGTTTTTTGGCCAGAATAATTTGTAAGAATACACACATTCTGAACAGATAGCATAGTGTAAACAAACTACCAAATTTTAATATCTCAGAACCTAAGAAATTCGAACAACACATTAATCATGTCTTCTTATTGACAGGATAAGGATAGGGCTGGGAACCTTGGTTTTGCTCAGTTTTACTGAATTTTGTCTAGTTTTCTGGGTTTGATTCTCATTCAAAATGTTTTTAAATTCATTTAATTTAAAAAATAATTTTTAGCGTTTCATTTTTAATTTTCTTATCAACCATTCAACCTGCTATCCTGAGAATTTTAATAATTATTATCCAATTAGTAGTTCCTCCAAATCACCATCCTGTAATTTCATACAGATAAAGATTTAAACAGGGTCAGTATCTGTTGTGAAGTAGAGGTTAGCACTAATCAGCCACTAGACTCATACTACTACTTCGTTATTCCCAATGACCACTTATATGAGTGTTCACTTATGCAAATTATGCATACTAATTTGCTAGTATCACTACATCTCCCTGAACCTTAAGGGTTTTATTCCTCTCATAGATCTTGTACTCCTTCTCCTGCTATTTTCATCACTTTGCTCTATTTCTCTCTCTCCCGTATTTCTTTCCCTGGGAGACCTCGATCTGTCCCGGGCTAGGCTGTAGTCATATATATTTTCTTGCATAATCTGGTCTTCGTCTGAACTTTCAGACTCCTTCTGGCCCTCTTCATCCTGCATTGTTTCCTCTTCTGACGTTTCCTTCTGTAATGGTTGTTCTACCAACTCATTATCAGATGGAATTGAGGACATTTCTTTGTCATTTCGTTCTTCCTCTTCACCCTGGGTCCTTATTTGGTCTGAATGGGCTAACACACTATCGCCATTTTCTCAATTTATTATGGCTGTATTGTGGCCTTTTTGCATTATAAATTTGGCTCCTTCCGGATCTGCATCTTTGCTCTTTTTGTACCACATCTTTTCATTTGTAGAATATGACATCGTTAGCGGAGCTCTAATCTGTCTTCCCATTAAAGCTGATGGGCTTTCTAGTCTTCCCACATGTGGTGTCATACAATAGCTTAAAAGCAGCCTCGGTAGAAAAACTTCTACTTTTTCTTTTTGCTGAGAGCATGCTTTTAGCCCCTTTTTTACGGTCTGTACCATTCTTTCTGCTAATCCGTTTGATTGAGGGTGATATGGAGGTGTCTTATATGGTTTACACCCTATTTTTCTAACCATACGTTAAGTTCTTCCTCACAAAATTCTGGTGATTATCAGATTCCAAGGTTTTTGGTACACCATTTCTAGAAAATAAGACTCTTAGAATCTGCTTTATAGTAGAACTTTTCTTGTTTGTAACCCGGATTATTTCAGGCCAACCTGAAAAGGAGTCTACTAATATTAATAAGAGTCCCACTCCATTAATATATGCATGATCCAT